CCATTGGCCTTCTTGGCAACAAGGGCACCCTGCTGGCTCATGGTCAGCTTGTCGTCTACCAGGACTCCCAGGTCCCTCTGGGCAGAGCTGCTTTCCAGCAGGTCAGCCCCCAGCCTGTACTGGTGCATGGGGTTTGACCTCCCCAGGTGCAGCACTCGACACTTGCCCTTGTTGAACTTCATCAGGTTAAATAGAGGCTCATTTCACAGAATGACAGAACCACTGAATAACTGAGGCTGGAAGAGACCTGGGGAGATTGCCTTGTCCCACCCCATTGTTCAAAGCATGGTCAACTAAAGCAGGCTGTTTTGGACTGTTCCCGGTTGGGTTTTGAGCATCACCATGGAGGGAGGCTCCACAGCCCCTCTGGGCAACCTGTTCCAGCATTCATTCACCTTTACACATTAAAAAAACGTCGGTTTGCATATTTCAGTGGAATTTCCTGTTTCAGTCTGTGCCCATTACCCCTTATTCTGCCACTGGATACCAGTGAGAAGAGCGTAGCTATGCCTTCTTTACTGCTTCCTACCAGGTATTTATACACATTGATACGATCTTCCTGAGCCTTCTCTTCTCCAGGCTGAACAGTCCCAGCTCTCCCAGCCTCTCCTCGTGTGCCAGATGCTCCAGGCCCTTCGTTGCCCTTGCGGCCCTTCGCTGGACTCTCTCCAGTCAGCTGGCCCCCAGCCTGTCCTAGCACAGGGGGCTATTCCTCCCCGGGGGCAGCACTTGGCATTTCCCTTTGCTGAACTTCACGAGGTTCCTGTCTGCCCAGTTCTCCAGCCTGCTGAGGTCCCCCCTGAATGGCCAGTACTAGCCAGCAGGCTGATTGGAGTGGCTACGAAATAGGTAAGTTTGACCAAGGAATAAGGAGAGAGAAGTCCTGTGCTGGGTGAGAAACCACTGCTGAAAAAACCCACCTAATTTTCAAAAGTACCTGAAGTCATCAATGGGTGAAAAAGGACCAGCACAAAGTATCCGGACTAGAAAAGAGGACAAACAGCAAAACAAGAGCAACGGGGAATCAACACCCTGAACAAAGATGAAGGTGACAGAGAAAATAGAACACTGGTAAAAATGCAAGTTAATTCTTGGAAGAAATTACGTGTTTGCCCCAAATTGCCTGGAAACATGGATGAGACTGAGCACGCTATACCCACACCCCTAGGCTACCGGTCCCATGTGACAATCAGAAAAAACAAACAGCGCTCAGACACACAGAGAAATCAAAGTCCTGGGATGTGAAACCTGGATCGGTGAACTCCCTCTGGTTATTTCCCACTCAAAAAGGGAACACAGGAATGAGAAAAGGCACAAGCTGTTTTCACAGGTGAAGAACTTTGACAAACAGTTCGGTGGTTCAGGACAGGCCTTTTTCACAGCCCCCCTGCCAGAAGAAGGGGCAGGGAGCAAGACACCAGGCTGAGCAGCCTGTGACGAGTATTATCCTTTGTACGTGGGTAAACACAATCCCCCCCCAACTCCACAACTTGCCAATCACTACCTGGGATCCGATCTCCTTACCTGGGATTCAGTGAGGTATCCAGCGTCACGCCCCTGATCAAGACCAGTCTTTACAACCTAGGCAAAGGAGAACAATGAAGATATACTGCTGTTCAGTCACGCCTGCCAGCAGCTACGCTTTAAGGAGGTTACTTGTTTAGCTGCACCTCCCGCTTTCACAGCTGACCCCTCCCCAATATTCAAGGTACACTTCAGACTCCCCGGGTCCTGTCCACGCTGCTCAAAGTAGAGCTGTGAATCACCTTGTCCTTCTAGCACAGAATAGCTACCATGGCAAGGAATTTTCTATCAGGTTAATTTTTACACATACCCTGCAGCTGCAGGAACGGTTTCCAGCAGGACTGTGCTCCTGTAATGTCATTGCTCTCAGAGTTGGGGGACGGGTATTCACAGGCTTTAGAGAAGTCTTGGCAGCAATTTAAATAGTGAAAAGTCATTTTAAAATAAGGATTGAACCATGGACAGTGCCAGTAATACAATGCCTGTGTAACTCAGGGGACTAACTTTTAAAGCACTGTGTGGTTAGTGCTAGGAAAACAACAATTTATATTCTCCTGTCTTCAAACAGGCCAACCCAACTCCTTAGAAACTGTATAGGAAACCTGGAAAAACTGCAGCTGAAAGGTTCACGGACAAAGTATTCCGGCTAAGCCTTTCCTCAGCTGGGATTCTTGATCTTCCCCTTGCTGGTACCAGCACCACATCAATTGGTGATCATATTCTGGGAAGCTATTCTGAACTTTATCGTGCTTGCTTGATACAGCACGCAGCTAGAACTCATCAAGGCTGATCTTCTGTGAAGATCAGGGTGTACGGCTTGACTCAAGAGGAAGGAACCACCTTCCCTCTGCCCACTGCTGTATTACCCCACAGATCCACCTTCACTGTAGTTTCTGGGCTCTCGCAGTGGGAGTTACCTCAATGATCTTTAGGGGAGCAGGGTAGAGTCCTTTGGTTTGCTTCTGAACTTTGCTCTCCACTGTCTTGTAGACTTGCTTCCTCACAAACGGAAGAGCCATAGCATAGTCCGTTATCTCTGCAAGACAGGACAAAACATGTCTCAGCACAGTGCTGTATGCGCAATCGGCCTTCAAATGATTAACCCGAAAGTTAGAGGCGAGTGTTGCGTATCTGCAGTAGAAACATGCACCTGAAACGCAGCCACAGGCAGCACGGTCTGCTCAGGAGGGTTTCTATGGCTCGTTCCACAGACAAGTCTCATTTAGGGCTAAAGTCTCCTCCTGATACAGCTGGTGACAGACTGAGCTCTGCAGAGTAGAACTGACAGAGATGTCATCCTTTCTGGGCTCTGCTAACTGCATAAGGGCGCTGCTAAAGAGGATTAGGGTGGAGCAGACCCATGTGCCTCTTCCCACTTGACTACACAGAACTTGCTACTGAAACTTTGAAGATGGATAGTCGTCAGGAGGCAGCTGCTGCTCCCTCTCTCCAAGGCCTGGCTCCCTTCTAGTACACTTCAGGAGCCACCAGGCGCTGCCCTGGCAATGCCACCTGAAGATCAGATCTGCAGAGCAGTGTTTTCCCTTACCAACCCACCTGGCTGAAGAGACGATTACAACATGAAATAATTCCATTTTCAAAACAAAGTTAAGTAGGAGCACGAACAGAGAAGCAAAGCTGAATTACACTCACTACAGTCCCTCAGGATTCGGCTGTGATGCCCACAGACTTACTCTGAATAAGGCCTTTCGATCTTTTGGCAGACACAGTCCTGTTGGCTAGTCCTCTGGCAAAGCCAATTGCTACCTCCTCCAAGTACTCAATCGTCCGTGCTTCTGGAGTCTTCACACCTGGCCCTGTGAACAAAAGAGGAGTCTTGAGGAAGCGCAGCAGAGGTTACCACTGACGGATGATGATACAGAAAAGCAAGGATGAGATGGCAACATGATGCTCCTCTGAATTGCTACCAATCTATTCCCCCCCGCCCGTTTGACTTTTCTTGATCATGAACGATGATGGAAAGGCTCAACAGGCAACTACATGAAGGCCTCCAGGCATTTAATATCCACGGCGTTATACAGAAATGCCAAAATGCCCACGCCCAGTGGGAGCAGACGGCAGTATGCCACTTAAACATCAACACTACTTTCACAGAGCCGTGGAATAGCTTTGGTTGGAAGGGGACATAGCAGGCCATCTGGTCTGACCCACTGCTCAAAGCAGGGCCAGGTTCGAAGTTAACTCCAACTCCAGAATTAGATCAGGCTGCTCAGGGCCACGTTCTGCCAGGCTCTGAACACCTCCAAGGATGGAGGTCCCATCACCTCCCTCTGGATTCCTGCTTCAGTGCCTGACCATCCTGTTGCAAATTGTGCCCCTTATTCCTCAACTTTGCATAACTGCAGGCACCCCTGTTTCTCAGCAGAAGTGTTCCGCCTCCCCTCCCTCTTGTCGCACCTCTCCTTTCTTATGTGGCACAGCAAGTCTGCACAACTAAGTTGTACCAACGCCGTTGCTACTGAACATACAGACAACAGTCACGCAGCACTGCGTCCCTGAAAATTACCTGTACTGGAGCTGATGTCCAGTGAAACCTCAACCTTTGACCTCCGGTGTCGGAAATCTCTCGCTTGCTTTAGCAAGTGCCACACAGCAACACGCAGCCAGGCTCCGGCTGGCATGCCATCCATCTTGTGGCCAACCTGCGCTAACTTAAAGCTGTCCCACGAACAGTGAAGCAAGCCGCCACAAAACAAGTTTTAGCAATCTCTGAGGGCGGGTTGCAAAATTTGCCAGCGCGGTGTTTGTATCATCAGTACGGGAGGACAGAGCACAGGGCTGGAAAGGCAGTTGGGTAAAGCTGCTGGAGGCAAATACAGTGAGTCATTAATGACAGAGCAGCGCCCAGCGATGCTGCACAGGGCCACCAGGCAAGCGTGCAGCCTTGGGCTGCCTCTGAACGAGCAGAACTGACCTGATGAGGTTGCAACCCTGCATCCTTACAGCTGGGCAACCTCATTCACCTTCACTATAAGCTGCTCCAACCACACCCAGATGCTGCACAGAGCCTTCAGATCTAAGAGAAGACCACAGCAGACCACCACTCCCTGACACAGGAGACAGTTAAAGAATGAAAACAAACCAGAAAACCTCTCCTCTTTCACCTTCCACTGCTCCCACCCTTGACCAAAAGCCGAGGTCTTCAGCTTTAAGGTTTCACCCCTCTCCTCATGAAGACTTGAGAGCATATAGTCAGCAGACCCCAAATGCTGCTGCAGGGTGTCTCAGCCAGAAGCAAACAAAGGAGCACGCACATTTTGACCAGATCATGAAAGCTCACTGTTAAGAAGTCTCACTTGTTCCCTGGCAGGTTGACAGAGCCATTTGAGAGGAAAACACTCCAAACAAAACAATGTATTTCATTTTACAGGCAGCTCAGAAAACTTAACCCAGAGCTGCTGCATAATCTACATTTCAGCAATGCCCAGTGGATTTGAGAGAATTTACTGGAAGTTTGAGAGCATTTGGGATTTTAGAGCTCAAACTTTACCAGCTTCCCAGTTCTCTTCCCACCACCTCAAGGCAACATGCCTGAGGCCTTCAGCTTTAGTGACCTGATGTGCTACAAGATGCGAATACCTGATTTCCCCTTTCCACTAGCTTGGGTGCTTGACACAAACAAGCGCTGGACTTTGATACTACAGCTGAAGAAAAAAAAAAAAAAAAAAAAAAAAAGGAGCGAGCTGTTTACTTGTAATTCTGAGCTACAAGAACTATTCAGGCGAGGTGGTCAAACTCACCTCTGTGGGTTTACTTTACTTGCGGTTACCTCTCAATGTTTTGCAGTGTCCTAACCCAGGAGCTCCAAGCTGTCGACTCACATCTGCTTTCTCACATAAAAGGCACACCCCAGAATTAGATCTGGGCACAGCAGTACAGAGAGGGCTGCAGAGCTCCCCGCTGAAGGACACCCGACTGCACCCCATGAAATTGCCTCCTCATTAATGCTGTATCTCTCCCCTTCAAAGCTTTCTATAATGAGTTATAGCATCGCCCCAGTTAAAGCTGCTTTTGCCCAGACATTGAGAATGAACTTGAGAATACTCAGCAGAAAGCCTTCTGGCAGTGGCTGCTATTTGAATGAACAAGGAATGCCTCTAATGCTTGCATGTAATTTGTTTTTTGTGTTCTTCCTACATGCTTATCTGGTCTGAGCTAGGATTCCAAACAGCTCTTCAGAAAGTTCAGGTTCCCTTTAAGCAAACCAGTGTAATCATGGGTATAAAAAGCCACACTTGCTGGCTCTTAAAAGCCAATTCGCATTTAGAATCATAGAATCGCTTTGGTTGGAAAAGCCCTTTAAGATCATCGAGTCCAACTGTTAACCTAACCCTGCCATCCCACCACTAAACCCTGTCCCTTAAGCAAGTATACAGTGGTGAAGTTTATTTGGGCAATTTTATCTCAAGCTTGGGTACCAGCGATCCATTTTGTAAGCGAGAACAGAGCTAAGGACATCTCATCCAGCTGAACACTGGCACAGGAGACAGGACAGACACATGGGCTTCCCTTGCACTTCTCAGGGTAGGCAGCAGCACCTTTTCTTTTTGTTGATTTTCTTTTCTTCAAATTCAGGAGCTAAGGGCCACCAGGGTACTCTGGCCACGCTCTACCTGGGGAAAACCAAGCTCAGCACACTGCGCCCCAGCTGGCACCGTGGCTTCCATTCTAATTCCTGCCTGTGGCTGCTCTGACCTTTCAGAGGAGGCTGTGGAGCTTTGCCCCTCCCTTTAGTCACCGTCCAAAAAAGCCCCCTTAGCAAAGGAACAGCAGAAGTGAGAAATTGTCTACTAGCCCTCTCAGTGACGGGGAAGTGCAATTTGGTCTGTGGTTTGCAAGGAATTTCTGCATCCAACTTGAAGTCAGTTGGCAATTCAGAGCACCTAAGCTCTGGGGGTTGGCTTCTTCTCAAGACCTTGTCACAGAGATTAACATCTGCAGGCTGCGTAACTGTAGGCATCGGTCATCTCCTCTCCTTTCACTATGGGTTGCAATCTGTCCCTCTGACATGATAAATGAGGAATGCAGGTTCTTATCTGTATAATTAGCTTCTGCAAGAGAGCCAGCAGGCCTGCCCTCTATGCTAACCTTTGCCTATTCACCTAGCTTTAGCAGAAGCCTGACATTTCAAGGTCCCCGTGCACACTGCTCTGAGGTGGGAACGGAGATTGCATTGCAGAGCACAGTAAAGACTTTGCAGTCAGAGAATCCCAGAATGGTTTGGGTTGGCAAAGCCCTTGAAGCTCCCCCAACCCAAGCGTTCCCCTACCCCTGCCATCCCACCCCCAAACCCTGGCCCTCAGCACCGCCTCTGCCCGGCTGTTAAATCCCCCCAGGGCTGGGGACTCGACCCCTTCCCTGGGCAGCGCCTTCCAGTGCCTGACAGCCCTTCTGGGGAAGAAATTTTTCCCAATGGCCAATCTAAACCTCGAAGCCCATATGCTTTGCCCCCACTGGAGCATCACTGGCTCCTCCACCCACATCGGTAAGGTGGAGAGGTTAACTGAGGAGCAGCAGATCAAGCACCTGCGAGGCATCATGCCTGACCTAGTGGGTCCACCAGCTGGTCAACCAGACCCATCTTCTTGGCTCTGTCAGCACGGATGTTCCTTCCAGTCAGCATCATATCAAAGGCAGCAGGCAGTCCCACCTGGAAGGGCAGAAAGGGGATTTCAGAATGGGAGCATGCCATGCAGCAGAAGGGGCTACTGAGTAAAGTTTTTCTCTTACTTACCATCTTTGGCAGCCTCTGAGTACCCCCTGCCCCTGGCAGGAGACCCAGTAACACTTCAGGTGTTCCCAAGATTGTTTTCTTGTCCTTTGTTGCTACTCTGTAGTGACAGGCAATGGCAACCTTAAAAAAGGAAGAGAAATCTAAAGCTTTCCCTGTGCAAGACCACAGAAGAACTGGGCATCCATAACAAAGACCTCTTCTACACATTCCCTCAGCTTTCTTCTCGATCATATACCCCAATTCCCTAATTCAACTGCCCAAATTCCCTCTGTGCTTAACTGATGCTTGTTCCAGCAGGAGAAGCGCACACAGGGCAAGCAGCTACGACATGAACATGAAACTACCAAACTGAGCCAAGCTATTT